CACAGGTTACTGACATTTTCAGCTTTGTTCCCAGCTAACGGGCAGAAAGGTCTTCAGATAATTTTATTAGGGTTACTGGAATTTTCTGCCTTTCTACCTTTGAGACTTTTACATAAAAAGTACCTCAAGATTATAACAGATTGCTGGGAATATGCAATAATCCTATATAATAGGAAGCAGCAGTGAAAGAAGCATGTGCAGCTTTCTTGAAAAATAAAACTTGTCCTTTCCTCCCCACCTTTCATGGGGTACTGTATGAATGAATGTGTTCAAAACCAAGGGCTTCTAGGCCTTTCTTCCCTGTCTTCTTCTATTTGCATTGCAAATAAGCCCTGCTGAAAAAATCATAGCTTGATTGCTGGGGAGATGAGTGTCAAGACCAGGTTGTGAACTATTTAAACTACTGTGAATTGTGGCAGAAATACTGTATTGGTCTTGCCTATGTCAACCTAATCTTGACTGCTGCTTTGGCTTACTGAGGTCCAGGCTATTTTGCTTTCCAAGACACCGTAATGAAGTAGCTTGGTTGAGGGCTGCACTCTGAAGTTCAAACCTTAGCTGGTGGGGCAGGCTTGTTGTAATACCATCTCTAGAATAGTTTGGTTGTGCTTTTGAATTCTGGCTTTGAAAAGTGTTTAGCATTCTGCTGGACTTTGATTAGTCAGCATGCATGTGTATATATTTGAAGAGCTAGTCTTAAAAATAGTCTTGTTTCAATGCTAATTGATTTCCTGGAGCGACACTTCTGAAGGCCACATGCCAGAAATGAAGTGCACCCTCTGCCTGGGAACAGTGACCCAGAATGACCTGGCATTTGTCAGTGAGAATGTGCACACAACCAGTTCTCCTTGCAGCAGTTACCATGCAGCATGTTCACGCATGGCTTACCTCAAGACAAATGACTTAACCTTCCTGTAGCTAGAGTGAAACTATTGCATGCACTTAGCATCGTGCTGGCTTCTGGCCAGGCTGGCCTGTCTGTGTGGCACAGGAGTTTAGATGCTGTAACCTTGCTCTGCAGACTGGGGCTGGTGCTGTTGGCAGGACTATAAGTTGTATCCTAAGCTATCTTTTGTTTCAGATTGCCATAGATGTGTTCAACAGGAGTGTAGCACTGGGACACAGCACAAGAGGTTGGCTTCATGCTCCTTGTGCTGCTCTGTTTCTTTGATCCCTTCTTTAGGTTGCCAGGTAGCTCTCATGTCCCTTGGCTATGGGGCTTTCACAGCTGCATGACTGTTGATGAAAATTGTGCGCTGCTGCTGACCCGAAATTCTTACACCTATGAACCTACCATTCCCCAGTTGTTTAAATTCATCTAAATACAGGAGGCTCGAAGTCCATGTAAAAAGGAATATTAAAAGAAGCTGTGAGAGAATTGGTATATTCCTTCTATTTGGAAGGAGGAATGCTGGTATTTGGTGAACTGGTTTATGAACCAGAGGAAAATAAAGCCACCTTAGCCTCCTCTTCTCCCTAGTCATTGTGCACTCTCCATGTATACACTGAGACTTTCAAGACCAGGCTGGATAACACTCTGAGCTGGCCCTTCTTTGAGCAGAAAGTCAGACCACAAACTTTCTGGGATTCCTTCTAGTATGAATTTTCGTCTCATTTGTGTTGCTGAGAATCAGATACCACATGCCCATGTGCACATGGATGTTCTAGTTCTGGTAATAAATAACATCAGTTCAGAGCATTGGAGCTACATGATACGATGTCTTCCCATGGCAAGGACTGAGTGAGATTAATGTGGAAATAAGCCTTCATAAAATTTCCCCTTTCAGATTTCTGTAAATGAGAGCAGGGCATTTCAGCTCTAGGAAGAAATTAGTTCAGTGATAGGTCTTACAAACCCTATGGATTTGGGTTTCTTTGTGACATAAATGCGGCTTAAATTTGGGAGCAGAGAAGAAGGGGCAAAGATTACAGAAAGATGAAGAGCCAGAGATGAATCTTTGGGAGAACTAGAGGAGGTGAATGAAAGCCTTATCTTTGTGCAGGAAAGAAAAGCAGTGTTTCTATACATAGAAAGTTACTGCTTCTGAAGTTGGTAGAGTTTGTTCTTTTAAAGGATCATCTGGGAACATGTGTCTTTTGAAATCTTGGGCTTGGGCCACACGCTATTAGAAATCTGTGTCTCCACTATGTAAAAAATTACTAGGGTATGTAGGTAATATATATTTAAATTTGGGCACCTCATTCATATGAAAAAAATCTTAGCATAGATAAGTTTTAAGCTGGTATTCTCTTACCTCAGCTGGTTGTGAAAAATACCCAAGTACCTTTACCAACTACCAAGAAAGCATATGGCTTTATGCTTTACTTGGAAGCTAATTCTGTCTTAGCAATAGCTCCACTTTTCTTGCTAAATCAAATCTAGTGTGGAGGTAGCATGCATGGCTTTCATGCTTGGTTTCAAGCCATGGTTTCATGGCTTTCATGACTTTCTGACACTTTTTGGAAACTGAGTTGAATTTAAAATGTGTGTTGTGCTGCAAAATTTTTTCTGTGCTGATATTCCCCAGTTATCAGGGGGATGGAGAAGAGTTAGTGGAATTTGTGCTCTCGGCACTGGAGGGCTTGTCAGCAGTCTTATCCAGCTACACCCAAGCAAATCTGTAATTGTTGAGGTTTTGTATTGTGAGAACTGAATTGGTGGCTGCAAGGATAGGAAACTTATGTTGTTTTTCTTATGTTTTTTTCCCCTTGTGTGCTGGATTTGCTGTCTGCTTGCTTTAATTTTTCTTTTCATTGCATTTCTGTGGTAGGGAAGAATAGTCCTGTTCACATTCTGTAGAATATTTTATACTTGAATGACATCAGGTCAGTGCATATGGTATTAGCAGAAAGAACCATGACTAATGCCACATCATGTGGGTCATATTTCCTTCTTGCCCTTTACGTGGTTGTGTAGCATAGTATCTGCTTTAATACACTGTATATTGCTGTATGCTTACTGTGGCAAGAACCCATTTAGAGATGTTTGTTCCCCTGTCTCTGATTAGCCCCAGCTTTGTTTTTCTGACTGCAGGGATGGGCATGTTTGTTGTCAGTACTTGATACTGGCAAAGGCTGCTTGCTTTCCTCCCCTGTGTCAGAGCTTAGAGATAGTAACTCCTTGCAGTGGGCTGTACCATGTATGTAAATGGCTTTTTATCTGTTCTCTCTGTGTGACATCTCCCACGATAAACACCCCCATACCGACTGTGCTAGGATGGCTCTTGCAGTTTGATTAAATGCTGCATGTGTATGAATATCAGTGGATTATACTGGATTTTTCTTCAGGGCCCTGAGCCTCACTTTGCACTTAAGGGGATGGTGGCTCTGAAATGCACACTTGTTAAAATTTATTTTCAGTTAAGGGGAATGACTACAAATTTAGAGGTGGATAAAACTGAGACAGATCTAAGAATATTTGTAGGCTATTTGTTCTAACTGTAGCACTGGATACTTGTGGTTTGTTTTTTTCTATAGAGAGAGTTAATGTCCTCTTTTCCCCTTCATTCATTGCATAGGGACAGGGTTGGAAGATAGAAGCATTGAAATAATAGGAAAACAACCCATGATATAAAGGCAGAGACTTCATAGATGGACTTGGGACGAAATCTATTATATCTGGATGATGTCCAAGGTGTCCGTCAGAAGAAAGGAGAGAACACAGAACGGGCATTAGTTAAAAGCAGCAAAATGATTGTCAACCCTGTCCCACACACACTGTCATTTTGAAGTAAATCCAGTTCTCCTGCTCTACTCTGGTCCAGATTTTCAGAGGTGGAGGGTACTAACATGTTCCACCAAGATACAGGTTTTTGAGGGAACGTGGTGTGCGCATCTGACTTGGGAGAAGGCAGGAGTGGGGAGCCACCTCCCAAGCTTGAAGCAGTGAGGCATCTTCTCTTCCCAGCCCACTGAACTGACTGCTCATGTCTGGCTCAAATGTAAGACATGAGACAGGGAAACTCCTAGCAGAGTAACCAAGGGGACAAAACAAATGTTGAACATTAGAAGTAAATAAAGCTAAGACTGCCTAGGAACGTCAGGCTCCTCCAGCATGAGTGCCTGTACTGTAAACCTGGCTGCCTGTTCCTGCCTCACAGCAGTTTGTTGCCAAGACTCCTGAAATGAGCAGTGCTGAGGTTCTGTGCCTCCTGGGACTGCAGGAACCCAGGCAAGTGTGGCTCCAGGTATGCGTGGTGGCTCCTCATGTGGGGCAGAATCCTTTACCACGTGCTGTAGCGGTCGAAACAGATTCCTTGGAAAGGCTGTCTGGACAGCTGAACTCTCTTCTTCTTTTATCACCTCTGTGGATCTGTGTCAGGAACACATACTCTTTGTTGTCAGTGGTGTTGGATCATGACACAAGAAAGAGTTTTAGTAGTACAGAACCCAGGGTTTTTTCCTTTCTTTGGAAAAGAGGGTGATCTTGTGGTTAAGAGTCTCTTGTGCCTTGCCAAGAGCTTGCTGTGTGTCCATGAGCAGATTGCGTGTGCTCAGATTTTCCAAGAGAGGCCTCAGATTTTCCAGCTTTGTTTCAGTATCATTTTCCAGTTGGTTTTTTGTTGTTTTTTCCCCCCTCCCTCTCAAAACTGCTCCTTATTGAAAGCTTCACTTGAAGTAGCAGATGCCTAGAAATTATCAGATTCAGTACCAGGGTTTCACTGAATAGAAGCACCCAAAACCTGTAGCTGTCTTTGGAAATATAGGCCTTAGTTTCTCTCTTTGCTTATTCCTACCAGAGGGACTGTATGTCCTCTCTTCATAAAGTGTTTGAAAGGCACCGTAGGAGTGTGCAGTGGCACTGTGTATTCGAACAGCATGACAAAGATGCCTTGCATGTGTAGGAATTGTATTTTCCTTGGGGGTGTTGTCCTGAAAGTCATCAGAATGAGAGGGAAACCACATACAGAAAAACTTTCCTGTCAGCTGGTAAATTAAGAATAATATGGCCATACTGCTGTTGGTTGGCTTCAGTTAAAGAAGGTGTTGACATTTTGCAGGTATGTCACTGGAGCGCTCAACCAACTCAATTGCCTCACGTGCTCGACTGTGTGAAAGGGAGGAGGAAGTCATGGCTTGTTTTGAGAGAGCGTGTGTCATTGCCCAGGTGTACTTGCAGGAGCTTGAGAAGGTAAGAAGAAATGTGCTTAGGGTGTTGCCTGGTGGCCTGGGTGGAATTTTCAGGGGTTTGACAGCAAAAATGGAAAAATAATGGGGAAATGTCATGTAGTAGACAGTGATCATAGACAGTATGAGAACAGGAGTGAGATGTCTTGGTAAAATCAGCTGCAGAACAGCAGTTTAGCTGGCTTACCTGTGGTAAAACACCAAATGCTTCAGATATGCTCAGGCTGTATCTCAAGTTTAGCTTGTACTAAGGAGGGACTGCAAACTTGCACGGCAAGTGCTGGCATCAGTGTGTATCATTTACCTGCTGTATAAATGATATACAGTAGTGGATATAGAGATCCCTAACAAGCTGAAAGAAACCTTTTTTGGATCAGCCATAGCAGTTTAATTGCTGGTGCTTCACCTTCTTCAAGTGAACCAGGAGGAATCTAGATCATTTAGAACCTACATCCTCCATCCCTGGAAGTGTTCAAGGCTAGGCTGGTTGGGCCTCTGATCAACCTGATTTAGTGGAAGGTGTCACTGCCCGTGGCAGGGGGGTTGGAGTTAGGTGATCTTTAAGGTCCCCTCCATCCCAAGCCATTCTATGATTCTATGATTAGTAGCAAGTAACTGCTTAGTCAGTGGTTGGCTGGGGTGCTGAGCAAGATGAGTACTGTGAACCCTCCACTGAGCCATGCAGGTAACATGAGCCGCTGATTTGCCGGGTACGTGCTTAGAGGTCTCTGAATCTGCAGCTTTGCCAAGCTGATTTTACAGGACATATCATATGCTTCCATGCCGTTCCTTTGCCACATGTCATGCTTGACATCAGCTGTATTGAGAGCAATGCATGTTATCTGTTCTCTAACTTAAAGGCCTTTGGCCTTCTGACCAGATATTTCTGCTCTTCTCAGTAGCAAAGGTGTGTTTCTTTTTCAGGTTTTGTTTTTAACTGCATTGAAACAAGAAAAAAATGAGCTTACTGCATGTATAAAAATTCATTTTAAAAGCCAGCTATCAAATTGTCTAGTCTTGTTTCTTTGCAGGAAAAAAATGAATAGCTTTTTTATTTCAGATTAAGTAATGTCCTTCCATTGTTGGAAGGATGAGTTCTTGCCAGTATGGGACGCTAAATTTTTTTACTGACAGCTTGGTTCTGCAAAGAAGTGATACCATTTGAACTGTAATTCATTCACTTAGAGTCATAGAATCAGTAAGGTTGGAAAAGACCTCTGAGATTACCAAGGTTTGTGATTAACCTAACACTGCCATGGTTCACCTCTAAACCATGTCCCTAGGTGTCATGACTATATGCCTTTTGAACACATCCAGGGGTGGTGATTCTACCAGTTCCCTGGAAAGCCTGTTCCGATGTCTAACCACCCTTTCAATGAAGAAATTTATCCTAATATCCAGTCTAAACCTCCTCTGGCACAACTCGAGGCCATTTCCTCTTATCCTGTGACTTGTTACCTGGGAGGAGACCAACCCCAACGTCGCTTCAATCTCCTTTCGTGTGATTGTCTTCTAGACATGGAGACAAGGGTGCAGGACTACTGATAGATGTAAAAGTTCATAGTCCTTCTCTAGTCCTAGATGTAAAACCCTGCTTTGGAGAGTTCACACAGGGCAACTTCAAGCAATGAAAGGTGATTTTTACTAGTAAGGAAGCAAAAGCAAGAAGGATTTGATAGGAGAAACAGGAAAGGGTAAGATTCTTCCATCAGTACTCCTGATGGCTTACTAACTCTTTACAAATATTTATGTTACATAAAACTAGATATACCTACTCAAACATTGCGTTAATATTTCTGGGCAAGATGCTCAATCTCTGTAGTTTGAGTAGTACTTCTGAAGCTGTTGGTGTTAATGTGTGGCTTTGTACTTACTTTATTAAAGGTTGGAAAGTAATAAGTGATGGTGTTTCAAAACTCTTATCGCATGAAGAATGTATCATGGAAGTAATTGTGTAGTTTATTTTAAAATTGACTTTGAAAGGTTTTTGAATATTTAATGGAGGAAAGTTTTCAAGTAATCTGAAAGGAATCTGATGGCAGAAGCTAATGTTTTATTGCTGTAGATGTTACTGGCTCATGAGGACCTGACTAGTTCAAACAGTTGTCTGTAATCCCAGATGTTTCCTTCCTCCCCTCACAGACCTTAAACAACACACATTCAAGAAGTATGAAGGGCAGCAACATGACTTACTCCGAGTTTGAACTTTCCTACTTTCTGGAAGCAGCTCTACAGAGTGCCTACGTGACTCATTTAAAGAAGGGGTAGGTGGATGCAGATGTTAATAAAAATAGATAATACTGCACGTTTTGTCTCAGAACAGATGTAGGCTTATTTTTTTTATATATATTCTGTTATGACTTTTTTGCTGCTGACTCACCTGAAGCTCCCTCAGCGTCCTTCCCTGTTCTCCTCCCTTGAGAGTCCTAAGCCTCTTTTCTCCAGATCCACAGGTAGGGTGGAGTAGAACAATTTTCTTGTCTTGCCTCAGCTTTGCTCCCTGTGGAGATGAGGGGAGTTAGACCGTAAAGAGAGAGTGGAATTTACACGGCTGTGTGCTCTTAAAATGTGCAGCCACAGGGCCTGATTTAGAGTTCAGTGAAGTCTTACAGGTAGTTTCTTTCATTTATTTGTGTGGTTGTTTAAGTTCTTAAATGACCCAATCAATACCCCAAATCTGTATGGTTTTACTGTGGAGAATACGTGCAGGAACAGTGTTGCTCTGTGGTATTTATTATGCATCTGAAATACATCTTCCAGTGAACTTCAGAAGGGCGAGAGGAGTTGGTATCTGCAAGCCTACAATGAATTTCACCTGTGGAAAACCTTCTCAAGAACAGCAGAAAAGACATAGTAAATTGCCACTTCCAAAGGCCATCAGTTGAGGGTATGCTGTTCCCTAAACCGGGCCATGCATTCAAAACATAATCAGCTCTGGTTATCTGATGGAGAAATTGTCATGTGGGAGAGTGTCTCTTCTATCTGTGTCGTTGTGAGAGTCCATCCTTTCCTAGTCCTGTTCTTGCACCATTTATTCTTAAGGAATCAGATACTGAATTTCTTATGGCAAACTATCTTTGCAAGTATTTAATTTTGGCTTTTTTTACCTGCTGAGTAAAATGGAGAAGAAAGCAAAAAATGAGAAAAGATAGAAAGATTGAGAACAAGGAAAAAAAATCCCAGCAAAAATCAATTTAAATTCTTCTGTAGAAAATTGGTACCATTTTTGATTCTGTTGGAGGAGGGTTGCTTCTTGTTTAGGGATTTTTTACTACTTTTTTATCCTCCAGGAATTACTTTAAATACAACTGTGAATAACCACTGTTTCTCATTCTTTCATTAAAAGCCTGCACATACAGTGAAGCTGTACCCTTAAGCTATCCATGAGAGGTGCCTTCAGGTAAACCTTGTTTAACCTGGAGGCTGGCTGGCAAAAACCTGAAGCTCTATGTTGTGAAGTGACCCCTTTAGTTAGGCAAGTATAAGTTTACGCATAAGGAAAATACGGACTTATAAAGCATAGTCTCAGTATCAGCTTGACAGCAGGGGATAGGTATGTGGTTTTCCCAGGTGAGCTGGGGCTTGACCAGCTGTGGCACAGCATGTGCTTTCCTAACCTTCTGTTGTTCTCATGGCAGACAAAAAGCTCAGGTCTTGCCATTAAGCTCATTAACTATGTAATAAAATAAAATCTCATTTAGAACATATGGCACTGATGTCCTCTAGGCACCTTTTGAATATCAAACTCACTCATGTTCATTTTAATCAGTACATTTTAAATTCAGTCTTCATCAGTGATGAGTTCAATATATCTAGTGGGATGTTTTAGCTACTACTGTGGGCCCCACTTGCTCCATTCCCCTGTTATTTTAACGATAGCCTTAAAAAAACCCAACAAATTCCCCCTCAGGAAAACCCTGAACAAAAACAACCCTCAAAAAACCCTACAGGAAAACAATTTGAAGCAAAATACAGATGTGAATTATGCAGGGCTTTGATTATAAATTGAGTTGCTGCAATAGCAGCAAAATGTTCTCTGTAGCTGTCTCCTGATGAAAGAGCATCCCAGTCAGCGCAATGGAGCTTCTGTGGCTGGGATGGGAATGGAATCCCACGTGTTCATCACCTCCTGCAGTGCAAGTGAGAAGCACCAGCCAGGGATGGAAGATTTGATGGGATAAAAAGCCAGGTGGGACACCACAGCTTGTCTTTGCCACCACAGCTGATACTGATGTGTAGTTTCTGCCACGAGAGGGCATAAGCAGCACTGGGATATATTAAGAAAAGAGGATGGAAGTAGGAAGAAGCTTTTAAGGATGCTTCATGAGTATAATAAATTTCTCTTAACTGATATTGAATAGCTCAAAGAAATGCTTTTGTCCTCCTTATTGCTTCCAACATGTTCTGGTAGGAAATAAGCCTTGGATGATGACTGCTCAAGCTGTTGGGGGGTAGGTCCTATCAGGTGGGATGTCCTTCCCCAGTGGCACATGTGTACAAAAGGAGTGGTGAGTGCTTTATTCTTGTCTCAGCAAGTAGAAGAGCTGAGGGATATAAATGGTGGTGTAATGCTTTTGTTCCTGCTGGCAGGAACAGACATTATCTTCTTGGAGCATGGTCAGGGATGCCCTTTTCTCTTGCAGTGTGCAGTGGAAAGAAGCCACTAGAATGAAAGAAAGGTCTGGTCTGCCCTTCAGGTGTTGAGCTGCCAGCTGTAAGGACCAAAAAGTCTTGCAGCTGTACAAGTCCCAGATGCTTTTAATAAGGTGTTAACTTAAAAACATTGTGTTGCTGAAGACACATTTCCTGCAGTTGTTTGCCTTGCTACAACCCAAAAAAAGCTTTCTTTTATTCCTCCAGTGAGCAGTGCTGATACTGTAGATGCAGAATATAGGATGTCATACTGTAGGAGGCAGCCAGTTGTCTTCCATGTTAGCATATGCACTAGGTTTTGGTTTTTGGTTATTTGGTTGCTTGGTTTTTTTTCTGATGCACATATGTGAAGATTAGGGTAATTTCTTGCTGCTTTTTTTATCAGAGTATTGAACAGGTATTACCACTTCTTGCTGTTATGGGGTCTTTGGTCAAGATGCTTGCAGTATTTTTAAGCATGCTTCACCTATGTGAAGTAATGGATATGTATACTGCTATCGTAATTGCAGCTGAAGTATGTATGGAGTTCCACAAGCAAGACAAAGTCAGAGCTTTCTAGAGGATGTGGTTGGTTTTGGAAGCTCTGGATGGGACACTTTTGAAGAAGAATTTCTGAAAAATTATTATTAAGCATTTATTAGAGCTCGAGTTTCCATATGATCTCTCAAGTTAGGACCTAAATTACTTTGGAAAACCCTGGCAAAAATGCCTAATAGGGGAAGCTTACATAGTTGTTTCTCTTCCCTTCTGTCAATTTTCTAGAGTGCTTAGATCCCTTTTGGAAATTTTGAAGGCTTCTGTTGCAAGGACACTTTTCAGAGTAACTTCATGTATGTGTAGTTTCACAGTAGTATCTAGTGTATAAAGACAGGTAGGACAGTCTCTGCTGGGCTATTCATCTCTTCTGAGGAATTTATGTGGGCTTTCTTGACATTTATCTCCTCTTTAGTCATCTCAATCTAGCACCTTATCCAGGACACTGCAGCTGGTAATTTGGAAGTGAGTCTTACTGTCTGCTGGATGGATCTAGATAACTGCTAAGGTTTTGTTTTGTATTGGGCTGGGTTTTTTTTTTTTTTTTGAGCGCCCCTCTCTGTTAGACAGGCTGCCATTAGGAAACTAAGGTGCTTTGTTGTACTTACTGGTTATGTCTTATCTTATTCATAGGAATCTGAGGCTTACCTCTTCAGGTGTGTTTAGTGTCTATGCATGAACAACTGTTTAAGGAAAGAGTATGATTTTTTAGAAACCTGGGTGAGATGCAAAGATGCAAAAGGAGGTGGGCAGAGGAAATGGTGTTGCTGCTGTTTCTGTGCTTTGGGTACAGCTTTACCCTTGAGAGGTGACTCTGCAAACTGCCATGTAATCTTCTCAAGATGGTCTGTTCCATGTGTTAGCAGCTAATTGTTTTAGTAGTAAATCAGTGGGGATAAGAACATGATCTTCTGGTGTCTGTGTTGTTGGGAGACTGTCTTTGCAGACCTCTGTGCTCTCTGGTTTATTGTCAATATTCTTCCCCAGAAATTTGCATAGAAAACAGTGTATTTCTTTATTTCCTTGTATCTTAAAATGTTGTGTATAGTGTTAGCCAAACTATATGGCATAAATGCAGTATGACTGCATTGATTCATGAACTGTTAGTTTAATTACTCTGTATTGACAGGGTAAATGTACAAACAAAACATATTTTCATGCCAGGGTGGACTGACTGGACTCTCAGGGTGCTCTTTGTCACAGTTTTGGCCATGATTGTCTGTGTTGTTTTTTATTAGATTAACTGTGATTGAATACTAAACTGCATTTCATCATGGTTTTTCTAAATGGCGCTCTGGCCACTTCTGTGGCTAAACCAAAGCAGTTTAATGATCATGTGCTTTTCCCTTCCTGTTCTTCCTCATATCTATTTCTGGCATCTTAGCATTACAATAGGGGCCTATGGACTCCTCTAGCTCATTTAATTTCCATGATGTGATGTTCACTAATGCCATGGCTTGAGGCAGCAGTACCTGAGATTTTCAGGTAGTCCTCTATCCAGGTTCTGCAGAGGCTCAAGATTTTCTAGTTTCTGAACTACATAAGATCAGATGGATTTACCAGGAGTTGCCAGAGGTTTTGTGTTTGAATCCTCATTCACTCATCTATGTACATGTATTTCTGTTCAAATAAATACTTTTTGTTAACCTCTTCAGGCCCTAATTAAAAAAATTCTCTTCAAGTGCACAGCTAGTATATAAAGGACATCCATTAATGGGACAGTAAGTTCCTTATTATAAGTAGAGCAATTCATTTGCTCAAAATGAAATGTATGCTCAGATGGTCTCCTGGCTTGGAACAGTTAAATGTAAAGACAAACTCCTCTAGTGAGGTATGTTTGCAGAATGCTGGCAGATGTGCTCTGTCTCCTGTCATGGCTCAATAATGTTCAATACAGTTCAAAATATAGAAGCTGCCACACTAAATCCTCAGTCCTGTAGAACTGATATTGTTGTCAGATGCTCTGCATGTTTCGGAATTGGGAACTCAGAGCATGGAGTGGTTGCTCTTTGATGGAACCTGACTACACGAGCATCTGTCTAGGAGGTGGTGAGTGCTGAGTGCTCCTCCTGTGCTGCCCACTTTGCTCTCCTAGCTTTTGTTGAAAGCATTCCTAGGCATTTGTCGTGTGCTTCGTGGTTTCAACCCTGGCAATTTGCTATTTGTTCTTTCATTCACTTCTATGTGTCGATATTCCTTCCTTTTCTTCCCTTCCCTCCAGAGCAAGGTGTTTCTGCCATGAAGCTTAACTTGGTTTGTGACCTTGTCTAAAAACTGGAACCGTAATGGCAGTCTAGTTCTCTGGGAATGAAAATGTCTCTTTTTATCACATTCTGTAGGTTTTTCATCTCTTTAGTATGTGCCAAATGTGAAATTAATTGGCTTTGCAAGTGATCACTAATCTTCTTTCTCATAGTAGTTAATGCACTTTATTAAGACAAATACCATTATGCTAACAAGAAATTTGAACATATGCATTTTTGAAAATGTTGTAAAACTGTTATACACCGTAACTCTTCTGTCCAGCCTCTTAAGGAGCCCATGGATGCAGGGGAAATACTGGTAGTTTTCAATAACCAAGGAGAGCAGTTGGGAAGGTGTATTTTTTTGATATGGGGGAATTTATTGATTTTGTCTAATAGTAAATACCATGTGAGTAGTTCCGTTGGATTTGGTGTCACTACTCGTGCATAAATAACACCACATGACTTATTGCTTTCCTCGGTTTAATGTCCAGAACTGCACCTTTGTGGGGATATTCTGTTCTAGACCTACTAAAAAGCACATGGTATCTTGACCCTGCCTGTAATTGGGGAGCGTGCTGAAGCATTAAAGTCCAACTTAAAAAAACTTCCTTGAGCTTTTTCCTCTTGATAATTTCAAAGTTTTACTTAGAAGAAAGTGAACGGAAAAAAAGAAAGACAACATCTGACTTTCTCTATAGGGGCAAGTCTCCGGTGTTTTTGCTCTTGCCTTACTTTCTTACTGGTATGTACCTTGCCCACAATTAGGTAATCTACAGACTACCTCAGTTTAAAATTGAGATGAGTATTGAAGTAAGGCCACATGCATTTGGATTCTGTGACTCGATGACCACAAGCTTTAGGGTGGCATTTTGTGTAGGCAAGATTCACGGTAAACATGATCATTTTTTATCCCCCTGCCCCCCAAAATAATCACCTTTTATTTTCATCAAATGTTTACCACTGATTCTGGAGTGCAGGAAGGTTTGCAGTACATGAAAGTAGGCACAAATGCAGTCTGTACTGCTTACCTTCAAAATTTAATCAGTTTGACAGAAAAGATTGTTATGACTTTTTTTAAATGAAATTTAGCTTTCTTCTGCACAGAAAATTCTCCTGGATAAGCTGAAGTGGCAGTTAATGTACCAGTACAACTGCTTATTTTGTTTTCTTGTCCAACATTGCTCCTTTTCTGATAGCCTGTATTTCTTTGGGTAACTTCCACCCTGCAATGAACGTGCATTGAACCATTTTGCAGTTACCGTGGTGGTAGGGCCATGTCCTTAGCCTTGAACAGCTTATAGCCTGACAGTGTGTTAACTAGCATGTACAGTGTTTAATCTTTCCTCCTTGCATCTTCCTGAGTGCACAGATACATGATTAAGATACCATTTGGCAACCAGTCAGCTTTAATCACTCATGGTGTATGCAGAGTAATGTGTTCTGGGGTTTTTTTAATTTATTTTTTTTTTTAGCCTAACCCTCTTATTGCAGGTTAAGCTGTGCTTGCAGACAGTTACTGCAACTTAGCTGCCTTATAATAAACTGTTTAAACCACTGTATTTTCGTCATGTGGCTGGACCATCAGACATAAGGCGTTTAAGCACCACCTAAAAGAAATCGTCATTTAAAAGCATCACGTAAGCTCAATATAATTCAAACGAGTACAATCTGTGTGTGTGAAGAGGAGATGTGGATGCTTTTAAGGAGCAGCATCTGCTTTATAAATATGAGCTATGAAAGGCTTCCAAATGTCCCCTCTGTTCATCAAATGTGAATGTGATCTTCTCTTAGAAAGCCATCTGGAGTAGGCATGCTACAGTCGCTGCCTTGCTCTGTGCCATTGTCCTGTCTGTGCCTCAGAGTGACTTGTCTCGCTACTGCACACTCAGTATTAGTGATTCTTTCATGGGTTGTTTGAACATCAAGTTTATTGCCAAGCGTTGGCACATCCTAAAAGCATTTTGTCTCCAATGTGCTGGTTTTGGGGGTTTTTCATGCTTTGGGTTTTTTTTCTGTCTTTCCCCATAGAAATATTGTGAAAGGAATGAGGAGTCTGCGAGAAATACTACGGACTGTGGAAACAAAAGCTACTCAGACCTTCAAAATGGTAAGGGGCTGGGAGATGGGAAGGTGGGGCTGTCTGGTATGCAGGAATTCTCTCTACTGACCATTGCAGCTGCAAAAAAGTGTTTACCCTCAATTGATTGCTGCCTTTTTTTCTCTCTCTCTTTTTTTTTTTTTTTTTTTTATTTTTGGAAGTGATGTGTCAAGTGATCCCCAGAGAAATAGAGATGTATTTAGTTTTACAGTGCTGTCCTCAGGTGATGTTGTCTTGTTTTCTTTCTCAGTTTCAGTGTGTGCATGCACACCTTTCTGGATTTGCATGTGGAAACATTAATTACTTGTGGCTTTTGCAGCAAGCGAGGCTTTGTTAGACTGAAGTCCTTCTGTAAAACCCTCTTCAATATAGTACAGAGTGATTTTAATAGTTTTAATTTGTTTTTGGTGTTGGCATTCTGCATGCATCCTTTTATTCTGAATGCCTCTGGTAAAGAAATCATGGAGAGAGTTATTTATATGCCTGTTTAACTTCTTAAACCTGTAACGGCTTCTTCCCTGTCTCCCCTTTAAGACATCTTGCCCTGAAGTTACTCAGGAGGTGACAAGGTCAACAGCATAGAGAATAACAGTCTTACTGAGAATGTGAATAAGAACTCTGCAGCCCTAAAAGCACTGATATTCTTACAACTAAACTTGTGCTTTGTTCAGCATTGTGTTTTATGTAATTTCAAGAGAAGTTCAGCAAAGGAGGGGGCCATGGGTTTGCATAGCATTTTGGAGAATATAGATGCACGTGGAAGCTTGTGCAGGGAATTAGAAGAGGTGACTTCAATAATAGTCCACTCAGATGGTTGCATCCTTTTCCAAACTGAGATCAGGGCTCAGGGGTATTTTCATGCTTGCCTGTTTTGTCATTTTGCTGAAGTGAGTCTAATCTGCTCCTATATTATGACAGAATGTGGCTCAGTTACTCCTGTCCCTGTGCGACCGGGGAAAGCTGTACAATACCCCTGGGGGATTTTTCCCTAAGGGAAACTCTGAGGGTGTTCATTCAATAGTTTTTACTGGGATTTCTATTTTACTGCAAGTTACATTTTCATTTTCTTATTTCTTTTTAAAGAGCTGTCAAAAGGGCAAAGGGAGGAACGTTCTTAATTAAACAAGTTTTTCAACCATGAAAGTAAAACACACGATTTATTTTTTTCCCTAATTTGTGGGATCACAGTGTTCTTCAAGCATAATGATGCTTTTTTTAGCCAAAGGCAGTAATAACATAAATCAGAGTCTTGGCCTGTTCTGGTTTGTTTGGTCTTATTCAAAACAAGAGTGAAGCTAATTTACACAGCTACTGTATTGTATGTTAAAATCAAAGACACTAGAAGTATTTGGTGCTTGCCTTTTGAAAGGCTTACCACAAACTGTACTCCTATTTCTGTGTGAACCAGTAGAGATCTTTCTATTGCTGGCATATTATTTTCCTTCCCCCCTAAGACTGTAGGAAAAAACTATAGGAGAGTTGACTCCTCAGGGTAAAACTGGCTGAATAATTACACATTGAGATGATAAAATGATACTGGCTAATGTTGCAGGGCCCTAGGCCATTTTGCTCATAGTTATTTGCTATAAAAAGCATAGAAAAGCTTAGTTAGAAACAGAGGGCTTTCTGTAACTTGTCAGTAGAAGTGCATGGAAAGTCTTGGGGTTTCCAGAGAGTTGTATGTGACAATATTTCTTTGAGACACGGTCATACATTCAGATCACTGCCATTTGCTGGGTACATGTGTGAAACCTCCCTTTATGCTGTTAAGAAACTGGGCACACTAGTGTGGTTGCATTTTAGATTAGTGCAGTGAATTCATGTGTGGTGGGTAAGGTGAATGAAAATCAAGAGCTTTGCATTAAAAGAAGTTATTTTTCTGAAACCGATAACAGGAACTTTAACCTCAGTGTGATTTATTCGATCCTACTGATGTAGATTTCTAACATACCTGTCCTGGTATTTAAAAGAAAATGACTCTTGGTGGCCTTTTAACACATCTCAAAGTGTAAATTGCATATAAAATACATATGCGATAGTCAGAGAAGTTGCAAAATACTATTTACAAGTATTAGGACAGAAAGGCTGAAGTTTCAGCCTGCCTCTGTTTTGTACAGTATTTACTTTACAGCTTACAGTGGGTATTCTGCTTAGAATTCACAGAAGATACCACAACTTTTGACGTCTCTGAGCTTGTTTGTATGCTCATATATTTATAATGCAAAAAATCAGAGATTTGTTGGGTGGCAGACAAGGACAAATGCCAAAGATAGTTTTAACTTGACTTTGCAAAATTTGCCCCCTCTTGGGCCCAGTTTGCCAGTGTGTGTATGAATTGGAAAGCAAGTATTTAAAGATCCTCGGCCACTTATGGTCAAAAAAGTGCATATGATGTCTCTGTCTCAATATAGAGTTCCTTCCTCCATTACTGCAACAGAAAGAGAGAAGCAGGACTGAGATGAACCTATAAAAGACTACAGGAAGAGCAGTATTAACAGATAAAATGTTGATTTTTTAAACCTAACAGAAAAGTAACCTCTGGTCTGAGACTTGCATACAAAATTCTGAGCCTGAGAGTGCAGTGTAGTGTCATCATACTCTAATACAGTGACTTTAGTGAGATTGTCTCAGCAGTCCATGTGGCAGGAGGTTGTCTTTGTTCACCAAAGCATCCCTTGCTGTCAGGCTTTCTTGATACTTTTTTCCCACAACATTGCAACTAGACCATGTAAATGCAGAAGTCTGGCCTTTTCAGAGGAGGGAAGACACTGCCACTTCTGTACACTTTAGCAGCTGATTTAGCTTCTCTGGCCTTCTGAAAAGTGGTACTGTCATCCTAGTACATCTCCTTCATAAGGTGGAACATGGGGAGGGGTGAATCTTTTGTGTTGGAGAAGGCTTCTCTGATAGATGTCTTTTTCTGTGCTGTTCACTGATGTCTAGACTGCAGCTAAACAGCTAGCCCAAGTACTTCTCCATTCCCTCAGTGAAGACTGTTACTGGAGCCCTTTATCTGATCCGCTTCCTGAGTTCATGAACAAGGAATATCAGTCGTATGTTAGCAATCTTCTTTGTCGGAGGCCTGAGCTGTACACAGAAGAGAAGTAAGCGCTCATTTTTATTTCAGTTTATTGTCAGGAGGAGGGGGTTTGAACACTTGTTGGTACTGCTAATTATGTCACTGATTCATGTAGTAGTTTTGTATCTTCTTGTTTTTTAACATCCCATCAAAAAGTCTGCTGGAAAAATAAAACTTAAACTTTGAGTGTTGGATTTTTTTTTCCCCAGGAAGAAGAAAATCCAATCACATAGCTGTCTTTGCTGTGAAATTAAAGTAATCCATTTATGGTTCAGTATAGCTCATCTAAGATATATTTTAATTGTGTAAACCTGCAAAAGAAAGTATTGCCTGGCAAATGAATTATACATGAGATGTTTCAAGTTACTGCTTCTCCTGTGAAATGAGAAAGAGGCTGACAGGATAACTCTTGACCTTCCTCAGAAAAATGTGTTCTATCTTTCAGTGTGTACTGCCCTCAAGACAACGTAGAAGAGGCTCTTCTTCTCCTCTTAATCAGTGAATCTATGGTAAGCCAAAAATAAGCTTGTGATATTAATAGTGGAAAGTAATATCTGGCATTTCCACGTCAAGTCTTCTAGTTGGTTTTGTTTACAGTCTTCCCTGGATAAACAGAAGCAAAGGTTTGGATGCTGAATGGAAAATGCTATCTATTCTTTTATTAGTGAGACCATTTTTATTAAGTGGAACATGAGAGAAGGGTTTTGGGAATTGTCTAGAAGAGGAAGTGACTGCATTCATCATAGCTGCATGCAGGTTCTGACATCCAGATACATTGTCAGTAGACAGATGTTTCCATTCAAAACATCTGTGTGGATTTATGGATCAAGAATGAGAGGAAGGGAGCCTTGCCAAAAGCCAGGAATGATGGTGGTACCCACTGTCTGGCATTGCAGGATACAGTACTGTGCTTACATGCCTTAACCTGCAGTCCTTAGCTGTTTCAGTCCTGAGTGATCTTTGACAGTTTCTGATGCTGGTGATACAGGGAATTTTGTCACATGCAAAAACATTCATGATAAACTATACTGAAATAATTAGATTCTTCTATTTATAACATTGGTGGCTTTAAAAATCCATTTAAAAGCAGGCAAACTGCTTGGAAAACTGCATGGTAACCTTTGATAATTTTCATGTTCTGAGAAGACACAAACATAGAAAATGTGTAAGGAATGCTTTCTGAAAATATATGAGGAATGTGTATTTTGCTTTAAATACAGTGTGGTCACTTGTAATTCAAAGTGAGATTTCAAAACCTTGGAGCATCAGTGACCCTCTTAAAAGCTTTTAAACAGCTTTCAGACAAGTTGAAGAGTGCTGTGGAAACTTCTTGGGTTTTGCTTCCTTCAGTTTTTCTTTGTCTGGTTCTTCTGGCTCAAGTCCTTCCCCGTTGCTGCAACTTCTTCAGGACATGGCAATTTAATATTGTTTGCTTTTAAAATTTGGGGAGAAATTGAAGAAGCAGAACCACCCCAAAATATTAAGTTGACTTCATGTATCACGTACATCTGAGTATTACTGTGTGCTTTTTAATGCCTTCTAGATTAATCCTCTACAGTACATCTGCTTTGTGTTTTCAAGGACTTTTCTTCAGTTAGAAGGGCTTTTCATAATTGCAAGTGGAGTGAAGGCTTGTAGAGTATCATAGGCACTTCTATTAAAATCAAAAGGACTTCTGTCAGTGTAGCTTGTCAGGGTTGATCCAAGAAGGATGAGGGTCTGGAGCATCAACAGTACTGGCTGCTCCAGCCTTTTCCAGGACTGGACTTGCAGTCAGAAAGGCCTTGTAGGACCTTGAACTCTACAATCTTCTGCTGAGGAGAATGAAAGTTATCCCTGTTTTATCCACTGGTGTGTAAAATGGTGAACTAACCGGTCCTTTGTCTAAGTTATGGATAAAGCAGTGAAAAAATGCTATTGATAGAAACTAGACTACTGGACTGACTTTGAGGTTAAAATAAGCTTGTGTGTGCTTAAGCGTGGTCTCCAGTTTATAGGAACTCTCTGGAGGTAGATGCAAGGCATTTTGATCTGCTGCATATGAAACACTTAATCAAAGATCCTGTAGTAGAGCACTGCAGGAACCATGTAACTGTCTTTCTGATTTCGGGGAAATGGAACATTAGAGTCTTCCTCTTGCATTAGCAATAGCCTTGCCATGAGTTTATTGTTCTAAATAAAATTCAGACCAGTGTATAGAAATACACTTAGGAACCACAGGAATGTGCTTCCTAAGTGAAGAACAGAGGGAGCAATCTGATTCTTACATAAGTTTGCAATCCATATTTTCCTGTAGTTTTACTATTATGGTATGAAGAAGGAAAAAATTTATGACATAAGACATGTTTTCCATAACAGCATTACTGTAGGCTAGTGATTTTTCTCATGTACAAATGTGTTGTTTGTTTGAAATTTTATTTTTTTGTTTTTTGTTATGGTGATTTTTTCGACAAAAACAAACAACTTAGTGGAGCTCATGGAATGAGTTAATAAAGAAGCAGATTTCCAGTTGCGGCCTCTCCCTAATAATATAATGTTATCAACTGAATAAAATATACTTTCCTTCCTGGAAAGAGTGTCACTGGCAAGTGATAATGATATGTTTCTGTAGACCAGTAAGCAACATAGTTGGTGTTCGTGGATTTTGGCTGGATTAGGTGTTCTCTCAGTATTTACAATTATGAGCCCCTTAAAATGAAACAGAAGTATGCAATTAAGTTGGCTTGCTGGGAGCTCTCCAGCCTCTCTGACACTGTGTTCTGTCAGAGCAAAACTCACCAGAAAGGTACTTTGCCTGTCTGATTTTTAAAGAGACAAAGAGCAGCCGTGCTGTTGTAACTCTTTTACAGGACCATAAAGCCAAACAGCTGCTTCTCGTGCCTGTTTGTGACTTCTGCCACTCCAAAATGACTTTGAGGGGGAAAAATTAAGGGAGGGATGGATGGAAGAATTGCCAGCCTGTGGAGGGGACACAGAGCAAAGTTGTTCTGGGGAGGAGCATAAATCATCAGAGAACCTCAAAGCAAATATGTCATAAATTTAATGAAAAGGAAACATGGTAGCTCTTTCAAGTAGTATATACCTTGGACACTTTTGCTGCTGAAATTCACTCTATTTTTCTGTTTGACCTGCCTTCCTAAGGTGAGGCTGACATCTACTTTACCAGGATCTGTGTGACTCTCTAGAAGCTGTTATGAGGAGGTAGAACTGTTCCTGTAACGGGGAAAGGGGGAAATTGCCTTGTGGCTATTGTGAGACAGACCCTATTTCTCAGCAAGCCTTCTCTGGCTCTTAGTGGTGCAGGGTTCTGGCTTGTGATTTCTTCTTATCCCTTCCCCTGGCATTGCAAGGGAGCCATGCTGCATGTTCTAGTGGGATGAAATGAGAATATATTCTAAAGGGACAGTTAAGGGTTCCTTTAAGTATTTCACTCACTCTGCCTCTGAGCCTAAGTATGTGAAAGGTTTTCAGATGACAAAATAACATGGTAGCTTCTTTCATTGCTTTGAAGATGCTTCTGTGGATATAATAACACTTACAGTGAAAGCTTGTAGCCTGTTTTGTCCTGGCACTCTACTGAGTTGCCTCCTGTATTCTTTGTGTCCTGTTAAAAATGGGAGCCTTTTTCGTAAACCAAGGCATCTCAGTAAACAATGAAAATCATACTGGTTGTTGAGCTTGGCAAATGCTCCTCCTCTGTGCCAGCTGTTATTTAGTCACAGTCTTTGGCTGCAGAGTTCTCATGAAGGAATTTAGTGAAACAAATCAGGCAGCCTGAAGATTGCCACAGTTAGGGTGGTCTTTTAGGGGCAGTTGTGGCCTCCTTGCTACCATATCATTCATTTTGTATGGCCTAAGTTATGGTATGGATGGGCTCTGTTTGTGAAAAGATGAAAATGCTCTCCTTCAGACCGAGAAGGCCAGCTGGTGACAGCCTTTACAAACTCAGGCTGTGGTAGAATGATGCATTCATATCACATACTAGAAAAAAATGGACTGGTCTATTTTTAAACCATTAGTCCTCTTTCTTACTGCATTTAACCCAGCTAAAACAGTGATAACTGTTTGTGAGGAAAACTGAGGACATATCATGACCTGCTGCAGTGTGATTTCTCTGCATTACACTACCAGTGGGAATGGTACTGGTTCCGCCATCAGGGACTCTGGTGCTTTGAACTGCAGGGGGTAGACAGAGGAGGTTTGGCATGACTAACCCCTAGCTGCAGCTTTGTTTATTTTAATAGCCGTTCTCAAGAGTATTCAGAATTGACTGCACTGCCCTTAAAGTTAACCAGAAGTTTCTCAGAGCCAGGAATGGAACACTTTCTATTGCTTTTTGTGTTTACTTTTGAGGTTAACCCCCCCCAAAAAAAACTCACCAAAAAAAAACCCAAAAGAAAAAGTTCTTAGTTTGTGTAGAAACCTTCCCCTCTTGAATCTGAGGTCCAGCATACCATCTGAAATCCCTTTATTCAGTGCTGTCTCTTACAACAGGGGATTTTGGCTGATGCGATCCACCAAACATACCAGGTAACATGGATTATTTTTTTTGGCTCTGTATTCACTTCACTCATACTGGAAATGAAGCTCCTCGTATCCAAAACTAATAAATTCTGTGCCTGTGTAACAAAGATTAGAAATGTCATCCCCATCTTATCTCTGATTCGAATCCCTAAAGGCGATTTGACCTTGGAGAGCCTGAGAGCATGGAACAGATGGTGAGGGGGAAGTAAGATACTGGGACTTGTCCTGTTCTTTTTACTGGTGAGAACAAACTCATGGCTGTGAGCATGCCTTTAATAGAATAAGATTAAACTCATGTATTTTTAAGCACAGAAATAATTAAAACCTGTTAGCTCTCCATTTCCTAGTTCTATAGGAGAACAATCTTGGCAAAGGAGAATAATCTCTTGTAGCTTTTATAGGTTGTGGAGTTTCTTTGTTGTTTGTTTGTTTGTTGTTTTTGAGTGGTGCCAAGACCAGTGATGATACAACAGCTAGATGACCATCACTAATATTTTCTTGAGGGCTGTCAGATTATGGCAGCTGAAAGAGACAACTGGGGATGGGATTGCCCCCTCCTGCCAAATCACAGTTGTGCACTTACAATAGCAAATCTGACTGTCTCTTTAACTGGTTTGCAAGGCAAAGCTAAGTGTTTGGGACCAGCAGAGATGGATTGCAGGATGTTTCTGGTGGGAAATACACTACCTCTGTTAATTGCCTCTTGAATAAATAGTTCTAATGTGAGTTACTTGAGGCAGAGTAGAGAGCTTTTTTTCTTCTGCTTTGCAGAAGGAAGTCTTGTTTCCAAACTTGCAAGGGGATGTAAATTCTTGGAAGATAGCTCTCTAAATCCAGATTACTACAAAACAGTATCCATAAACAAACTTCCTTACTTTCTTTCTCTCTTCCTTGTGTGTAGGGTTGTGGTTGTTGGGTGCTTCTGGATGGGTATGTCTGTCTTGCTTTCAGTGATGTTTCCAGAATTAGTTCTGTTACAGTACAAGGCATTAAAATACACCTGAAACATAAAAGATATATCTATATGGTCATATTGGTTAAGCAATAATAATAGGCTGTTTTGCGGAGACATCTGAATTGGGCACCAGTAACTTGTGGTCTGTTACTTACCAGAAATGAGACAGATGCCATATAGTTCACAAGAGCTATGTTTTCATTCACTATGCTTCTGTCTTAAGTGGAACAAGTTGTGGTATCTCTGTGAGAGGAGTTTTGTTGAGTTCCTGGGGCATGGTGTGTCCTCCCTGTTCAGTCGACTTCCCATTTTCACAGCAGTTTTGCGGTCAACCCTGAATATTTTCTTTGTGTATATTGGTGAAGGAAGCCTTCAGGTGCTGTGTAGAGGTGATCAATAACCAAAGCAAGAAGTCCATAGCTTCTTCCATTGCATCGATTCTTGCCACTGTGAGGAATTAATTCATTTTGTTGGCAATACAGGCAGAACAGCCAGAACGGAGACCCAAAGGATATGGGCTAAATATTTTTCAACTCTTAGCAGTAAAGACATCAATTGCATGATTTCAAAGGCCTGTTGTCAGTCTTACATGCATAGCATTTGTTTTTCTCTCTTAATGCTAGTATTGAATCACACCAATTACATTATTACAGTACACTGTGTAAAACATGCTGCCGTTCTGTATAGATGGGTTGCAGTGAATCTGGCAATTATGTCTATTATGGAAAGACACAAGTTAAACATTCGAATGCCCATGAATTAGGGGGCAGGCAGCAGGCACTCATTAAAGATTTTAATTGCTTTCGTTTTCTTCTTTGGAAGAAAGCAGGGGGAGCCATGTTTCAAAGTGAGCAATTAAAGGATACTTCATAGCTAATTGCTGTGAGAAGGGGCTGCTACATGGAATATGCTCTATTGTAATTCGTATGATTGCTTGACGTTTTATTAAGAAGCACATCTTTGTACTGTGGTAAAATTTAATTTTCTGCTGCGTAACTGCGTGCGTAATAACTGCTGAAGTAATGGCTGTTTGGATTTGCTGTGGCTCTTTTCCTTTCTTTGTGAAATAAACATGCCATAAATAAGGGTCGTTGATATACCCCAAATCCTCTGTGGATAGATGGCTTATCTAGTTTGCAGGTAAATATATTGCCTATGTGGATAGGAAGGTACACGCTGTCTGTAGCTCTGCCGGGTTGTTAGTTACGTTGCAGATGCCCAGAAAGGCAGGTCTTTCAGAGCCAGCTTAGGTCTGAAAGTCCCATATGGTGGTATTGCTGAGGTTTGGAGCCAGACCTGAAAAGCCCTGCTAACCTCAGCTGATTCTGTGCCCTGTCAGGTTGAACACCTGAGCTGGGCATCTGGCACGGTGCAGACACAGTGGCTGAATGCTGCTTAGCTCAGGGGTACCAGCCTGGGCTGGAACCTTTTGGGGATGTGTGGCCTGCAGATGGGTTGTGTCACTGACCTGTGGAAAGGGAGGGCTGAAGATGCTCGCTGTCCTGTGTCAGGGCTGACTATGAAATGTGTCCAGTCTCCCCAGATAGGACTGGTGTGATGTCTGACCCACTACTAATGCATCCCAGAATATACAAATGCGATGTGTCTCTGGGTTGCTTGATTACCGAGGAGTATCTCAAATAAAGAGGCATTGAGTGTATATTTTTGCTCTGTATAATGCAAGTAACACTAACTCCCAATTGTGAAACTTATGTTGGTAGCATTAGTGACCTTCTCCATCCCTCAAAAGAGTCTTGAAAAGAGGTTCTTTTGATGGTGTGACTCATCATCTCTCTCCATCCTGCTTTTGTGCTGTGAGGCATGTCTGCGTGACAATGGGAACAGCTTAAATGGAATAGTCATGCTGGGGGTGTTAAAAATGTATTTGTAGCTGTGTTTTACTGCTGCTTATAGTGGAGGAGGAAGTAATGTGGTAGGACAAATTGAAATTGCTGCTTATGTTATTGATACACTGCTTGAGACCAGTGTTCTACAAATAACCTTTTTTCCATTTGCATTCAGGAAAATTAGTGTCTGAAACAACAGAAACAGAGGTACTGAAAAAATGTTGGTGTAAATAACTTAGAATTTTTGTATTCTCAAATGCAAAAGGAAGTATCTCTGTACATTTCACTAAGTAAAATTCCCCATCCACCAGAATTGGTGTATGCTGTGTTGCAGTAACTCTACAAATCCTCTGCACCAGCAACTGTCAGGATTTCTCACTGATAAAACTAACATTTACAAAAACATAAACATAGGTAAAGACAAAAAAATCTCCCTCCTAATAGTTATCTGGGTCGCAGCATACTTCCTTCTGTGAGAGGCAGGCCACAGAAATATGCCAGTTTCCCTGAGTGGGTTTCAGGAAATAGTGATTCATATTCCCTTCTCTACCCTCCTGTATGTAACACTGCAGTAGTAAATTATACCTCGAGCTTTGGGTTGGTATTTACATTATTGTGTTAGACACACTCCATATTCTTGCTACCATTCAGTTAGTTTCTTAGGAGGTTTGCACCTTTTGGTTTGTGGTTATTTTTATTTTTTTTTTGTGTCTCTGTGATAGTGAGGGCTCTTCTTGATTAATTTTTTTTTTAGAGTAGCTGGAATTAGCAATTGTAAATAGAGTCAGCATTAAAAAAATTGTTGGGATAGAAGTAATGATGAATTTGCCAGTGGCAACTTTTATGCATGCAAGCACAGAGAGTGATAGTTTGCAGAGATGACCTATGGCTTTGAGATTTGAAAGCTTGAACAAAATCATCAGGTTTATGACCTTCATGGAAAGAATATTCGTCATGCCTATGCATATGGTGTTTTTAACTGCTAACTGCTTGGGTGAAGTGCGATATGTACACTGTGTTCAGTATGACTGCAATTTTAGAATGTTTCATCCTTGTAATATGTCCTGTATTCCTGCTTTGCAGGATTGAGGTGTGTTCTTCCCTCTAGTACCAGTATCTGTGGCAGAACTTAATGTGCAGTCATTGGTTCTGATCAATTTTCTGTCTGTGCTAATGTATCCACTTGAAAATCATGGCTTGGTACTAGATGGATACCCAAAAAGGCATCAGACTATAGCTGACTCTAATGGGAGGTTGATGATGAGATTACAGAGCATGGGGGTGCTATCTCAGTAGCTGTTTTCTACAAACAATTGTCAGAAAAATGTAACCAGTGCAGAAAAAATTGTTAGTGCTATTGTATCTACGTAGGAGGATTCACTTGGCAATGAGGATCCTTTGGTATATGCCTTTATTTTAACTCCTTTTTTCCTTTTAAAGTAGCAGTCTTGTGTTAAATCCAAGCGGATCTTAAACATCTATTTTTTTTTATTCTTATTTATTTCTGCTAATAAAGGTAGACAAGCTGTGCTCCTGTAATGTGACAACAGGATTATCTCTTTGAAGATGGTTTCACCCTCTCATGCAACCTATTGTTCTGAACTATTTTTTAATCAGAAATTATGTCTTTTGCAGTAGCATGAAAAAGAAAACTACTTTTGTGGCTGCAGGAGTTGGTGTAAGTTTATTTGTGCAAATACTAGACAGTCTGATCTGTCAGCTTGCCTTTAACTGCAGTCACCATTTAGGTCTTGGTTGTGATTGTGTTAGTTGTCAGTAATTGTGTTTGCAGTCTCAGCTAGAGTGCTTGGAACTGGGGCATTACACAGATAAAATCATGATGAAACAGCTGCAGCTTAATCATAATGAAGTATGTGTGGGCTTTAAGGGCTGCATATTCTGGAAATTTTTATTACACTTAATTCCCATGTTTAACCTTTTTAGGAAAAAAAAATCTCCCTACATTTAGAAAGAAATAGATGTAAGATTATAGTAGTAAATATTATAAAATAAATCTCATAACCTTTCTGTTTCAGGGAGGGAACATTTTGTTTGTCTTTGCCTGAGGTGAAACTGCTGGCAATTTTCTTAATTTTTCTGATCTTTTAGATGTCTAGACCTGACTGTCTGATGTTGCACCCCTTTCAGTTGAGGAGCCCAGGGCAGTGTGTCTGTGCTATCAGTAGGTGCTAGGGCTCGGTGGCATCTAGCACTCCCTCTCTCAGAGGCTGGGCAGTCTGGGTGAGGTCCTCTGCATTTGGAAGTTAGAGGGGCATTTCAGTTTACTCCGGGATCATAATCTTTCCCTTTGTGTTCTGAAAAACTAAAAGGGCTGGGATCTCAAGTTAAATCTGAGTCTGTGGCATGTGGTATTTTGGGACATCCTCACATATACTCAAACTGATTATTTTCTGTCAAAAGTAGTGTTTCTTCCTGATCTAGGCCAAGTAATGCACTGATAGGTTAGCAAAATTAACACATATATTAAAAAAAAAAAATTTGGTATTGCATTGCCCAAACCACTAACTGCTTTAAATTGATGACAGACAAATCTGATTACCAAAGGCAACCTGCTCAAATTAAAAAATGAAAAGTGAGTAGCAGAAAAGAACAACAAAAACACATACAATTGTGAAGAAATCAAGTGTGGACACAGAAGATAAATTATCAACCATGGAAGCAGTTATTGCAGTTAGAGACAATTGAAGTAATAAGGAAGATGGTTTAAGGATGGCCTTGAATTTCTAATTATTGAGGAAATAAGGAAGATGGTTTAAGGATGGCCTTGAATTTCTAATTATTGAGGAAATGGGATCTGGTAGGTCTGTTTCATAATGGTCTAATTCTGCGGCACAACTCCAGATGAGGTATTCCTTGCAGTTCCTTTCTGTACATTGAGCTATCTTCTTGAGTTTGCTTCATGTGGATATAAAATACCTGTGTGGAAGCACCTGCCTTATGTTAGGATAAATTAAAAAAAAAAAAAAATCTTGAGATGATATTAAACAAAATGTTATGGGTGATGGGTGTAGCTTGCTGTGGAGGAGTCAGTTCTCTTTTTCTCTTTTGGAGTCTGATGCTTCATTTGTGTCTGTGCCTAGGCAAACCGGGACGCAGTGATCAGCCGAGCCCCAGACCAGCAGGATGACCGAGCCGTCAGCCTCCAGGATGCCTCTGCAGTCTACGACCTCCTCAGCATCACACTGGGCAGAAGAGGGCAGTATGTGATGCTGTCTGAGGTACCTCCTCCGCACTCTGCCTCAGCTGCCCCTTGAAACGTGCTGGCAAAGCCCCTCTTTGCAGTAACTTGATGGGGAACATGAAAATGAAGCACACCAGTTGGCAATTAGTAGAAAAAGCTGCAGAGCTGTGGCAGCACAGGCATGAAGTGCACACAGAACTTTTGAGACATTGACATAATTTGTGTGGGCACTTGAACAAAGTGGCTGCCATTTGAGGTGATGAGGTATGCTAGCAAGTCCCATTAACTGAGAAGAGGAAAATGGTGTCTTAAAAAAAAACCCAAAAAACAAACCCCCGAAAAACACCTGGGTCCTGGGCCACAACAGATTGTTTCCTGACCCAAGCAGGAGTCTTGATGAAAGGTATAATGAGGAAAATAAATAAAGAAAATTCTGATATTTCTCCTGTCATTTCTTTCTCAGTGCTTGGAGAGAGCCATGAAGTTTGCATTTGATGAGTTTCACCTCTGGTACCAGCTTGCCCTGTCCATGGTAGCTTGTGGAAAGGTAAGGTTCAAACTGAAGGACTTAGAAAGGGCACATTTTCCTCTGGCAGAGTGTATCTAGATTACTTGTTTGAATGTGCAAATCCATCAAATCCATGTATTTTGTGAGAGTAGGGGCTATCAGGCAACTATGTTGAAGGACAGTGCTCTCATTTTAGTCTCCGATTGCACTTTGTGGTCAGGTGCATGCATTTGGTATTGAGTAGTGTTCTTTCCATGTCATATTTGTTTCTCATTATCAGGGAGAAAATGGGTTTCATGCATCTGTGCAGGATGCTAAGTGTTATACAGCTGTCCGTTCTCTGCAGGTTCAACATAAATGTGCTTTGTATAAGAAAGAACTGATGTCTAAAACTCAACTCACTCTGTGTCTTTGGGCAGTTGACTTAAGCTGCAGCTTCTCCATATGATCAAGGAAATGTTAATGTTTTGTCATAGAGAGCTTGCAAGGTTTAATATTTTTGAAATGCTCGATACAAAATAAACTTTAGAAAAAGAAAGCATGTGTCAATATTGGAATGGTCATGTGTTTTGTATGTGTTGTTGTTTTAAAATTAGTATATTTGTCAAAGTTATCAGTAAACCATTGAGATGGCTGAAATCTGGTTGTGAAAGGTAGGCAGTGGCAGCAGGAGCTGTTTTTTTATTAGTGTTAAAAGAGTGGACTTACTGTAAGAAATGTAGATGGTACAAAATGTAACCTTCCTGGAGTCCCCACCTACACTTTTTAGAGGTATGAGCGAATTGATGCTATGCATTGGTAGACCACTTAATGTGGTCATATATTCTGTGCCCATGCAGTGTACAGGAATCCGTGGAGACCACCAACTAGCAGTCATCTGGCACACTGCATGTACTACAGTCCTTTTATGCGTATAAGCTGAGCTGGAAACAGTGGCTTTGGCATGGAAATGGGAGATGAATTGTCATCTTGGGCAATGTGATGTGTAAGTTGCTGCAAAACTTTGAAAATGTCTGAAGGGATTCCTTGACTTCTGTGAACATAGGCAAGGCCTTATGTTGGAAGACTGTCAGTTGTTAAGCATTTTACTTCAAGAAAATGGCAGAAAACCAAGAGAAAGTCTAATAAAGAGCATCAAATATGGCTAAGGGTACAGTAAGCAGGATTGTGGAGAGACTGAAATGATTAAGAGAAACAAGTCTTCAAGAGCTCTTAAAAGAAGGGGTTAATCTTGTTTGTGGTGGTTAGGACAAGATGTGATGGCTTCCAGTTGCAGCAACACAAATTCATGTGTCCTATTAAGAGGCACAAAAGGATAGTGGAACACTGGAAAAAGATTGCCCTGTGGAGGTTGTGTGGAACCTGCATCATTGGGCATCTGTAGAACACCCTGGGCAAATATGTAGTGCCACCTCTGTGAGGCACCAGGGGTGTACTCAGTGGGACCTTGCACACTCTTCACTCTGTTGTGGAACTCTACAGTTGTCTCTTTTTGAATAGAACAGATAGAGGTGATTTATGAGATACTAAAGCTTTGGCAACACAGATCAGCAGGGAGCTGAAGGGAGATGTTTAGACAGAAAGAACCTAGCAGATTCCTACAGAAGTTCAGTACAAGCATTTCAAAATCCAATTCCAAGTATGAAAACAATGGCTAGACTCAATCATGTATAAGGAAACCTGAAGCTACTAATGGAATACTTAAACAATGAGCTTGGTGACATGGTATTAATACTTGCACTGGTCTATGTCAGGTTGGGGGTTTACAAGTCATGTCCAGCTCTCCTTGGCATTCAGCTGGAGTTAGCACAGTCCTGCCCTCTGTGTCTTTACAAATCCTCCGGATACCTGATCTCTTGATACTGAGGACAACAATGACTACATAGGCTATGGTGGAAAGACACAGTATCTTCCCATAAACACAGGGCTTGTCTGGGAGCTTTATCGGCTTTTTACAAGTTGTTTGACCTGTTTCTCAACAGCAGATAATACTGTAGCTCTAGTAATCTGCTGGAGAGCAAATCTAGATTTTTAGCTGCCAATGGTTGAGAATGAGTGTATGCAGAGAATAATTGTGGTTCAGTCGTAGGTTAGTATGATGATTAGAAATGCAGCCTTCTAATAACTTGTATGGCAGTTCTGTCCCTGTCCCTATATGTTTGCATACCTCTTCACCTTCCCTAGAAATTACTGAATATTTGGTACTTTAAAAAAAAAAATGGCAACACAAGTATCCATCTCTATAACTGCCCTGTCTTTTCAGATTTTCAAGTATGTCATGTCTTTTTGCCTGTACTTTAAATATTTACAAGGTAAAATGTCCTAATCTTGCCTGTTGATGTAAAAGCTCTAAATGTTCTGAGCCCTATATAGGTCAGAGGGAATTCCCTTACCCAGCAGTCCCATCTGTGCAGTATTTCGCTTCTAATCCCAAAGTATTCCCTGAGGATTCCTGTTGTATACTCTGCAATGCGTCATCTTGCTAATGGGAAATGTGGCATACATTTTTATGTTGCTTTGGAGCTTGATAGCAGGACAGAGTTCATTTAAAAGTAAGTGCTCCAGTGTTGCAGAAAGAACTGATGAGAAAACAGTGTGGTCTGTCTAGACTGCAGAATGCAGAGTACACTTGAGCTTTTATAGGTAAAGATCTGTTTTCACCTGTCTCAGTCACAGCCAATTCCTGATCTCATTTCTTGGTAATGAAATCTCACATCCTGCAGCATTACTCGTTCGGCAGTGCAGCAAATCATGCTCATAAATCCTGGGCACAACAGGAACAGTTCTATCAAACTGTAAATGCTGGAAACTTTGGTTTATCTTTTTTTTTTAATATGTTTTTAGGATTTTCACACTTTGACCTTCTTGAAAGTGCTGTAAAATCCTATCTTGCCTTCTATTCTACACTGAATTTAACTAGTGTTACTTTTATTTTGTTCATTCATCTTCAGATTAATTCAGTCGAGTTGAGTTTCAAAGTCGTTTAGTCCTCTACCAGCCAAAAATTGCCAAATGGTGATTGTCATTTTTCACAAGTGATCAGTCTGAATGTCAAGCCAGTCACCTAGGCTCATTACTGCATGTAGGCTTGAGTTTACACATTATTCTGAAAAGCATGTGTCTCAACAAAAATAGGCACATCACTTCAGTAAGTTCCTGCAGGCCTTGGGGCTTCTAAAACAGTGAATGAAAAAACTCAGAGAAGCATAACCTTCCTGTCTGTCTTTTATCCATTTAAGTGGTGGAAATAATGAAGTAACAGCAATTTCACTTCCCTGTGTTTCTCAGCAACTTGCATAATGAGAGAGATGGTGTGGTCTGGTTGTTTTTTAACCCGTTCTTAGAAATGCCTGCCATACTGAGCTGTATATTCTCTAAACAAAGAAGGCATGTATACTTAAATTACTGAAATCCACCATTACATTTGGAAGACTTATGTAGGCAATTTTAGATGAAATACTGAGAAACCCTAGACAATGGCAAAGACATGGTGACAGTTGTCCTGTGTCACCAAGTGCAGTTCTGGATAGGCAAAAGAGGTTTAAATTAGTCTAATGCCGTACCCTTGTTCTTGTTGTGCTGGAAAACTGAATGCTGAGTTCTTCAAAGATGCTTTAAGTTGCTTCCGCTGGTAATAACCTTGGCACTGTGGTAATACAACAGCTAGAGGCTGAGTGGGCATAGCAGCTCCCTGGCTCTGCTGCCGTGCATGGACAGGCTGGAGCCTGATTGGCGAGTGGTATGATAGCCGGATGCCATCTGGCAGAGTCCTCAGGCAGTGAGATGAGCCACTGTCCTGCTGCCAGAGTAAAATGAGTGCAGACAGTTGCATCTGTTTGTCTCAAGATTTTGAAAAAGTGACCAGTATTCAGCAGCATGGGGAAAGGAAGGACCAAACTCTCATTTACAGAGTAGAGATGACTTTGTAGTCTTGACAGTGGTGAAGAGAAAGATTGCTGCTTGGGGCAGACTTGTTCTGTGCTGCTGCTTTCCAACTAAACACTTTCCACTGGAGGTCATGAAGGTTACCAGCACACAGCTCTCCTGCAGACTAGGGTAGCTCTACCGACATTTCTGAAGTCGGAGGCAAAATTGTCATAGTGTCTAGATGATGTATTACAAGCACAAGGGATGTGAAATAGGGTCCTTGTGCACTCACAAGCATTTCATTGGCCTTGGACCAGTTGGATCAGTTACATGTTCCTTGTTCAGATTTCTGTCCCCTTCCACACCTAATACCCTCACACAGGACCTAGCCTTGGTGTTCCAAAGTGTCACTGGAGCTCTCTGGGAGTAGAGACTCAGGAGTGCATCGTGAGCGGGCTCTAGGTTAAACTTATGGTATTTAAGAAAGTCTTCTAGATCTGCATTGTGTCTTCTTTACCTGTCAAACTGCTTAAGGGAAAGATAAACTGTGAAAATATGTGCCTTCAACAACATGAGGCAACACCAATGCCTCTCTTTTACCTACTACCCAAGGAGATGAGATTTGTATTTAGTGACAATGATTTGCTGTTTTCCTAGGGGTAGTGAGGGAGAGATTCTTCAAGGATAACTGTGAAATTATTCTGTGAACAATGAGTCTATTTTGTCTAAAAGTACTGGATGCCCTGACTGAGCCACTCAACTCTCATGAGTCTTAATCTCTCATGTCCAGTGAATGTTTATTGTTGTTTGGTGTATGGAGTGCATAGAAACATTTTCACGCTCACGTTTAATGTTTCTACCCAAAAACCCCCCCAGCACAACTTGGTTAGTGAATTAAGAGCTTTAGGATGTGTGTTTTTTGAGAGGAGGGGTGGGGAGCAGTATAGCCTTAGCCAGCTGAAGGAAGCCTGGAACATCTGCTAGGAGAGGATAATCTGCTTTTACCCCTCATACTGTATACTCCTTGAGGGGATGAAGTGCATCAAAAAGTGACTAAAGAAGAGCTCAGGAACAATTAAAGGATCTGTGGGGAAAAGCCTCTGTGAGAGCTCAGTGGAGCTGGAAGCGGGTACCTGGAGGCAAGGGCTGTGTTCAGCAGGCCTTGTATTGCT